TTGTAATTATGGATTGCTTTAGAACCTTAATATTTTGGAAAACTATAATGGAAAAGGTAAATATGATGTTATTAGACATAAATGAAGTCAATACAGAGAGAAAAATCTTAAGATATGCACTGATTTATCAATTCAAAAATATAACATTTTGTGGAACTCACATATATTTTCGAAGAAAATAGTGAGTGTAAGTTTTAAGGTCAAGTTTTTGCGGCTCCCCCCCTCCCCATTACAGACACATAGCAACCAAAAAGAACATTACATACATACCCCTCCCCCTCACTACAGATAGTTCCCCCTTACAGACCATAGCAACTTCACAAAAAAGGATTCTACTCGAAGTATATAATTGAAAAACGACAACATTTCCTAACAATCAATTATCATTAGAAAAGAATTATCGTCTCTGAGAGAATTTAAACATTATATATGTTGTCATCAGCGGAGTGAAAGTAAAGAAGATATGTGAGTTCCACATTTCAGCCCCAAGGGGGCTGCGCTAACAAGCTTTGTTGATCTGTCTCATGCTGCAAAAATTAATCTGTTTGTAATACTGTTCTACCTATTTATAGTGTGCTCTATATAAAAACCTTATTTTCACTTCGATTTGATAAATGAAAAATGATGAAATTACCCACTTTTGAAAAGATAAATGATTAATGGCACGCCTGAATCTGCTTGATGCTATGTAGTTGATAGACGTAATAGTGTACACAACGCAGTTTGTTTAATGTCTATGTCGCATTGCAAACAAAAACATTGAGAATCTATGTGCAAGAGAAAGAAGCTGAGAAGAAAAACAAAACTTGAAGATAAGAAATAAAGTATTTCAAATTTGTTGGCTTTTTTATCCAGCAGAACAAGAAAATTATGAAAATCATCAGTTATTTGCTCTCTCACTTCGAAATACTTTTTGTCGTTCTTCTCCTTGTATGCTCTTCATATGAGACATAATTCGTACATTCGTTTTTTTCGTATAATGAAAAAACCTTGAAAAGCTATTGTCTTCTCAGCATTTTGCCACTTTTTTATGTTCTAGTAATTTTAATTCCTGATTCGCTTTCTCTGGATTTCCAATAAGAGAGAAAAATCTATTCATGCATGAACTTATGAATGTATGAAGATGTTTCATCAGAATCATATATGTAGATTCTTGTTTTTTTTTCACTGCTCGTAGAAAATAAAATTTTTTGTCCCTCTACATTGGTTTTTAAGAAACAAAATTTCTAGCAAGAAAAAGAAAAGGTAATTCTACTTGAATTCCAAGGTTCTGAGATGATATATATCAAAAGAGTCGTGAATATATCAGATACAAAGTATATATGAGGTTAATAATATTTTTTCTACTTTTTCGTATCACAATGAACTTTTTTGCTGTCCTTCTTTGTGAAACATGTTTCATCATTTAGTATTACAATTAATCTAAGATATGGATATGCGAGAGAGGCGAATCTAATACGTACAATTCACATCAGGACCCTCGATTGTTTTTAAGAGTAGCAGAGACTAATAAGTTTTCGTAGCTACACTGGAAAAGTAGGCATCACTTACACCTGACCCTCACCTACTAAAAATCTTAAAAGAAAATTTCTTTCTTTTTTTGCTGTTTTAATGAAAACTAAGAAATACTTGAAGTAATTGTTGTTGAGTAAACGAACGAATATTGGCTTTTTTTTATTAAATTCAATAAAATATGTTCTAGTGTCAGACGAGATATTGATGATCGAAGTCAATGAATATTTAATTGTCGAATATCAACTATATTAAATAACTAAATTAAAGTTGACAAACGAAAGTCTCTTCATTTTCTTTTAATGTAAAACTTATCCGTCGAAACCTTTGAGAAATATCATAAAATCATTGAAGTAATTGAATAATTGTTGATTTGTCACATGCTGAAAGATCTTTGATGAATCAATGAGAGATTGTTTCTTCTTAAATATTAACTAGAAAGAAAGATAACATGCAAACTAAAACAAGAAACAAAAAATTTTATGCAAAGACTTTAATTTGTTTTTTTTTACCAGTTTGAATATTTAGTTTTTGCAAATTCGTTTAAATAGTTGACTTTTGTTGAGTCGGAAAAAAACAAATTTGACGCTACATTCAATTGAATTCGATCAGAAAAATGTTTCTAAACAAAAACTTCTCATTTGATTAGATTTATTTCGAGAGAAAACGAAGCTAAATTGCAATTTGATCAAATAAATTAAAAAGAATTTTTGCAGCTAAGCAAAACGAACTTGCAATTTTATTTGAAATTCATTTCAACAATAGAATTTTTTTCTAAACTTTTATCAATTCTATCACTTACAAAACATGAGAGATTTCGACTCATTGAATAAAAAAAACATCATAAATGATGAAAATTTGAATATGATGATCAATAAAATTTCTACAAATTATTTGAATTTTTCTGTGAATAAATATTCGTTAAAGTATACAATGGTAAATTCCAATCGATTAGAAATCTTATTCTGAAAAATAATAAATCAGCGGTCGAACAAGTACAAGTATAAATACATTGGTTCGAGTTCTGTAATAAATGATCTTTTTCTGAATTTTTTTCTAAAGATCAAATGAAAGTCAACTGAAATTTATAAGAAAATTGTCAAAGAAATTAAAAGATTTGATTGAATAAAGAATATTTTTGAGAAATTCTTCTTTGAAAACTAATAATTGTTTAACTATTTCAATATTATTGATCAATTGAAGAGTAATTTCTCAAAAGAATTTTCATGAAGATAAAATTTCGAATGAAAAATGAAAGATCGACTTTTTGTTTTCTTGAGATTTGTTTTGTGATTTGATATGAAAAGATATTTTATAAAAAACATCAAGAGAAGAAATAGGAATGAAACTAAAAGATAAATGAAAAAGTAAACCATTATTATTTCAATAACTTTCAAAATGTGTTTGACACATTTTCAAATAGCTACCCGAATGGTTCCTTTTTTAATCGATGAAATAAGAAAGTTTCTTAATGAGAATATTTTTGAAGTGGTTGAGAATAAATTTGTTTTGTTAATTTTGAATCAGTGATGGAAAAATGAAACATACTGTAACAAATCGATTCAATCAAATACTTTTTTTTTTCACTGAATATTCCATTCAATGAGATTTTTCCGAGTTGATTATCGCGTCTTCAATCATTTCTCTTCTTTTTAATTGTTTTTTTTTTGTAATATCATTGTTCATCTCACCTATTATTAAAAAATTATCTCGACGTACTCCATTCAATTGATCAACTGAACATAACTATGAAGAAATCAGCTATTTCTCACAGAAAGAGAAACAATAGAGAAATATCCAGATTTTCTTTGAATAATCATAATTTGTCAATTAGTTTAATATTGTCTTTTAAAGATTCTTTTTTCCAGTCAGTGAACAGTAGTATTTTAAAATATTAATCTTCTAAAAGTCATTTTCAGATCAAATGAAAATCAATGAAAATGTCGAAAAAGTAAGCATAAAATGATCGGATTATACTACATTCATTCAAATTTATTGACATTTGACTAAAATCTCAAGATTGAAAACTATAAGATTTTCTCATATCTGATATTGATCATAGATGTCAATGATGATATTCAGTTTCAAACAAACGTCTCGTAGTGAAGGATGAATTGTTAATACATCGAAATTATTCAAAATGCAGTAAACTAATTCAACAGATGATATATGGAGACACATCATATTCATGTCAAATATTATTTGTTGTCGACACGTACTTTATATCAAAGTTTTGTCTCTCTTTTGTTTTGTTTATTGTGGCTACATTACTGTTTTTCATGATTGTACAATAACTTATTGACGAAGAGAACTGCAAAGTGGACGATTAAGAATCAATAAGAATGCTAATGCTACCATGAGAGAGACTGAGATTGACATATGGAGAATCAGTCATTGATCAATGGTACTGAAGACTGTATATTTAATTTATACTCTAGAACCGCAAGAGTAGCTTTAATACTTTTATTTTATAAATACAAAAGGATATACTTTAGAAGGATTAAAAGACAAAATGTCGAAAAGTAAATATTGAAAATGAGAAATGTTAAAACTGAAAATATTGACAAAAGTCACGTATTAATAGTAAATATTGATTCTAAGCATCTACCCATGTAAAATTTTTGATTAAAAAAAAAAATCATTATTGAGTACATTCATTACTTTTTTACAAAGTAAAACTAATCCTAGTGAACTTTTTAAGTGAATATTGGTATACTTTTAAGTAAAAAGTGCTTGGTATCACTTTCAAAAATACTAAAAAATATTTATGCCACTATTATTATCAGCTCATATTAATAAAATTTTCTATCATTGATACCGATCATTCAGATCACATTTCATGTTTTAATGTGAATTCTTTTTCTGAGTAAAACTGTATTTATTTAACAACTCTTCAGAAATAATAAGAATATCCGTCTAGTCTATTTTACTGTGAATATATTGATGTGAAAAGAAAAGATTTTAATATTCTGTTAAATCGATTGGTGTTTCTCAAAGAAGGATACCATATTTTTTCAATAAATGAGTAGTCTATGGCTCATTTGTTTTTCTTTAAAACGTCAAACGAAAAAGAACTTAAGATTCTAAGAGAAAAATAAACATATCTATTTAATATCGGTTACGATAAACTATATTCATATGTACCTTATCCTTTATTATTTTTTGTCTATAACATAATAGTAGTGATATAACATTTGTACATAAAATGAACTCAAGACAACTGCCTGATTTTCCTATATTTTAATGCATTTTTCAGAAATTTTTCTAATGGTTTCAATCTATTAAATGCTTTATTCTTTCATTCTAAATTATTTGAATTTTAATTATATAAATGCAGACATTTGCCATAGTCAGATTTTTATTCCTTCATATTTTTTTTTCTTCTGAGTTGATGAATATATTGAAAAAATTTTAAATGAATTTTTCAATTGAATAGATAAGTCAAAACAAAAATAATGCAAAATTCATTTTTTACAAAATAATTCAAATTAAACTTTATAACGACCACGATTGACAAGTTGTAGAGCTGATTTTTGCTAAAAAGAAAAGAAGGAATAATTTTTAATAAGATAAATTTATATATGAAACTTACCATTTTCATCATTTCTTCTTTAATTAATCGAGTAACTTCTTCTTTAGCTAATTGAAGACTATGTTCAGTTAATGATTGAATTTGTAAATAAAATTTTTTATCATTCTGTACTACTTGATTATTTGAATAATATTGACCACGTACAAATATATCAACATCAGCACATTCACATATATGTGCTAATGTTTTCTATTTTGAACAAAACAAACAAAAATATTTAGTATTTTCAATATATACATGAATGTCTTACTTTGCGTATAATTTTCGATCGAACATTTTGTGGAAAATCATTTATTTCTAATTCTTCTTCAAATATTTTCGATGCATTTTCAGTTACTTGTATTTCTTCTTTGGATTTTTGATAATTTAATTTTCGATTTAATTCACTTGCTCGTTGATATGCTACAATATAACTCTAATAAAAAGAAAATACAATACATTTTATAATAAATATTCCAAAAAAAAACTATCAGATATTTACAGATACAGCTGAATTTAATGTATTAACATGTTGAAATAATGAAGTTGTTGGTCCTTGTATAGAATCTCGAGTTTCCGATTTGTTCAATGTCAACCTTAAAATAAAATCGAAATTCATGATTTTTTTATTTGTTCAAACTTGAATACAATTGTATAATGGAAAAGAATTTTCGTACTCGAGACTCGATCGAATTGTACTGTGTGATACCCTCACTGGAATTTTTGTACATATTTAGATGACTAAAGTGCACCGAATGCGAAATCATCCCACGAGCTCTACCTTACATATTTCTAAAAACAAGTGAACTCCGATTGTTATCTTTGAAAAGTTCAGACAATTTTTGCTCATGCGGACATATTCTCAAGGACTTTGTTTGATGTTTATTTCAAGTAGATTAAGTCAAAGTTGTAATTGATTTTCACTGTTTTAAAAAAAATATTTTATAGACATCAGGTTGTTTTTTTTTAAGATTCGCTTTATCATTTAAAGAGGCATGTTAATAAGTTTGTCTGTAAAAGTTAAGTGAAGGGAAGTTCAAGATCCGGAGTTCGACAATGATCAGTATTACAGAAACAGAAAGCATAAAAGACAAAGCTGTAAGATGTGATACCAGATTTTTCTCCTGATTAAAAAACAAAAAGTAAATTGTTGTTTTTTTATGCTTTTATCAATTTTATCTTATCCAATTTCTTTTTGTATGTTTGTCCAACAAATGAGGTATTGCCTGCATTATGCAAATATTCGTACACTAATCCTATCCTAGTCTATTCTGGTTTTACCCAGAAGAAAAAAACGAGACTCCTGTACTTTGCCCATACTTTGGAGTTACTTGTTCTTCCATTGGATTGTACTCTATCTGTAAGATTTTACTACTTAGTCAAATCATAAAAGTGATCTCGCATTATCAGAATCAGCGTGTCATCACCTAATATTGCCATAAACATACATATCCATTTTTTCAAGCGTTTTTGTCAAAAACTTAAGTTTTTATTGGTAGAAAAAACCTCGTCATGGAAGGACTAAATAAATAAATATTTACCTAGCTGCTCTTTTCATAGCTAATTCTAGTTTCGATGCTACATCATTTGCAATTGTTGAATCACTAATCTCTTCATTTTGATTAATTGGTACATTACGTTTAATTTTAATAGATTTTTTACTCTTATTAAATAAACATTGAATTTGTTGATCGATCTAAACAGAAAAAAAAAGGTCAGAAATTATGTAAAGAAAGAAATTAAAAAATAAAACATACAATTTGACTTTCTTCATCATCATCCAAATCTACTAAACCCATAGCAGCAGCTTGCATGTTTTTCGATTGTGTTTCCAATGAATTAGTTTCATAATTACTTCGTCCATGAAAACCACCAACACGAACTTTTATTTTTATACCCATATCTTCATTTTTCTTAACATAATCATTCCATAATAGAATTAATTCTTCTGGTATATATGCACCAGATGTTTTTAAAGCTTCTATTATATTTCCAGCATAACGTTCTTGTGCTGGTGTAAGAAATGTATAAGCATAACCTATATTACCTGCTCGACCTGTACGTCCACAACGATGTACATAATCTTCATAATGATTTGGACAATCATAATTAACAACAAGAATTAAATCTTTAATATCTAAACCTCGTACAGCAACTGATGTTGCAATTATTAATGGTATATCACCATTTTTAAAATCTGTTATTATTGAATGACGATCAGATTGATCAATACCACCATGTAATGACATACATGGATAATGATTATTCATTAATTTTTTCATTAATTCATCACAATGTTCTTGTGTATCAACAAAAACAAGAATTAATCCTTGTGATTGATATAGACCAAGTAATTCAAGTAATTTTAAATATTTTTCTTCATCATCAGCAAGAATTATCTAATCAAATAAGAATTTTATTTTATTTTATTTTTAAGTCATTCGGTTTTTTTTTGTAATACTTACGACATTTTGTATAATATCTTTACAAACAATACTGCGTCCACCAACGGTGACTTCGATAGGTTTATCGAGATATTTACGTGCTAATGCTTCCAGTTTTTTAGGAAATGTTGCTGAAAACATAACAATTTGACGATCAGGACGAATACTATCAAGAATTTTTGTTACCTAGTAAGAAAAAAAAAAACGATAAAGAATATTTGTTATATATTGACTTTTATTAAATGTACTAAAGAACATTGCAGATCGAGTGATATTATCAATGTAGTTCATTGAAATTAGAAATAAACTTTTCCTTATTTGCCTATTGAACCAGTAACTATGATGGAGCTACAGCGTTCAATCTCCGTAGACGAAAATCTCGACTTCACTACCGGTAACCAAGTTAGTTGTGTAAAAAATACACACGGTATCAAATAATTTCACTGATACGATCAATCTACGGATTGCTATAATTAAATAAGAAAACATTTCTTTCTCCTATGCATATCGAATTACTTATGACAGAAAATTTCCGAAAGCAAAAAAGAACAATCATCTTTCTATCCTATGATAAACTTGGAATAGACTAATGCTCATTCTTATCTGTGGTTCAAAACCCATATCAAACATTCGATCAGCTTCATCAACAACAACATACG